TTAATTGGCGTCGAAAACAACGCCGCGGTCCGCTTGGCCGGCGTGACGGCGGCGCTCTCCAGGTCGCCGACGAAGACGGGCCGTGCCCCTCGCCGACGACGACGACACGTCGAACGCGAGTGGCCGACGCGGCCATGTTGGGCGTCACTGTCCCCGCGGTGCCCCGCGGCCGCCGCGGCGTGGACCGCTCGGGGAAAGCCCTCCCCCTCCCCTCCCCGCCCCGCCGCCTCGTGATGCAATTGTGGCGGACGATTCGGGCGCTAAACGAAATCCGTGACGCTCTGGCGTGCCCGAAAGCCGTCGTGGACGCCGCTAATCCTGCCCCGCCCCGCCTCTTGGGGCAGTCCTTGATGAGGGCCCCGCTTGGGGACAGTCCGTTTTCGCAAGGGTCCCACACAGTCCAAACCCTCGCTGAAGCACCCTCGCGTCGGTGGCCTGGCGGACGGGGGCGCCGCGCCTCCACTGTATGAATGCATCGCACAGTGAAAGTGTTCAGGCGTCGCATATGGTGCGAACATCCTCACTGCGTCAAGGGCGATGACGACGCACGGGGCACCCCGTGGGAGAGGAGTGCAGCCAGCACTCTGCCCCTGGGACTGTGGCCGGCCAGGGCCAGCTCGCAGTGGGCCAGCAGGTCAGTTTCAGGCGGACAGCAGTCTGATTCCGAGAGTCGCTGCTGTAGCTCTGTTTCTCTCGCACTCATGGGGCGTCCCGTATAAAGAGCGAGAGAGACAGCGACAAGACGACTCTCGTAATCAGTTTGCAGGACAGGATCACGGCGTGGTGGTTTCTTCGCTCGCCGTCAAGCTCATTTTGGCGCTCCCTCGTGTCACAGTCTAAATATATCTAGATATCTTTCTCTGAGGGAAAGACTCCTTTGACCTGCCCTTGGCCTCACATCCCCCGCGACTCAGAGGCCACCTCCTCGCTTTCCGGCCGCCCTTGCCCGCCTTCTGGCCGCCTGCTTTACCGTTGCCATTGTTCCGCGCAGCACTTTGTACGAAAGCGCCCGAATGTGGGACCCGACAAAATGATCGCACCTACCGAGCGAGTGTGGCACTGCCAGCCAGGCACTGCACTGCAGCGGAACCCCTGAGTCACGGGGAACGCCGGCCGCGGCATACTCCGTGTTAAGTGCGGCAATAAAAGTCGGCCAGGTGAAAAGAAAAATAGCCCGCCTTTGTTGGGATTCGAACCCACGGCCGCGGCCCCGTGCGCGCGCCAGCGGTCTCCGTTCCGCCACGCTGGCCGCATGTGTTTACCGTCGCGGATTTGAGAGACCCCTCGTTCGGCTGGCCGGAATCTGCATCACGGCGCGGGTGAAGAGAGAGAGAGAGAGAGAGAGAGAGAGAGAGAGAGAGAGAGAGAGAGAGAGAGAGAGAGAGAGAGGCCGGATCGTGCTCCAGGCCGTGGAGGCCCCGGACAAGCCCCGCGGGTATCGCACGCCGTAATCGGCCCGCTCTGTCACTCCCGCGGCCCGCGGACTCCAGGCCCTGGACAAGGCTCTGGACCCTCTGCCTCTGGGCGGCGCGGCGGCTACGGCCGCGTGGGTGCGAGAGAGACGGCGGTCCGGACTACAATGGGGCACGGCGGGAACGTCTTCTTCGTGGCCGCCCGGCTGGCTGATCTCCAACTGTCTCCGTCGCACTCGTGGGCGGTGGGAGTGCGAGAGAGACAGGCGGCAGGGTAGGTTAGGCCGCACGGCGTCACCCGAGATGATGAACGCCGCGTGTTTCGTCGAGTCGTCGCCAAAGTGGCCGGCGGCAAGCCAGCGGCGCGGCGAGGCTGACTTTTCACACTTTCACGCTCGCCAACTCGCGACGCCGAGCGGCTGAGGGAGGGTGGTGCGAGGATCGTCAGGGAAAAATCAAGGATTTTCAAAAAGCGGAATCTACAAACGAACTAGCAGTCCTGCTGGAATACCCTTTTCCAAATCAAGGGAAACGTTCCGGATGGATAAGTCACCGTCTTTTCGAACGGCTCTGTCTTGTCCAACGAGGAGAGTCCAGGCGCTGCCGCGGCGGCGTGAGGCGCGAGGCGTCGCGGCCGTCCTGGCGCGGCTCCATCAGCCGGGAAGTCAGTCTCTCTGATCGAAGCCGCCCAAAAATTAACCCGGCGCCATAATGACCCTGCCGGCCGAGTCGTGCGCGGCGCGGAGAGTGTTTCGTGACTCCGAGACTCGTTTTCGTCGCGCTGTCTCTCTCGCACTCGTGGGGCGTGCCGTCTGGGTGCGAGAGAGACAGAGCGACGAAGACGACTCTCAGTCTGCAGTGCAGGACAGGCAAGTGGGATGTGGCCGTAAAGTCCAGTCCGTCTCCGCGACACAGCCGAAGCAGCCCTGCAGACCGATTCCGAGAGTCGTTTTCGTCGCTCTGTGTCCCTCGCACTCAGAGGGTGTCCCGTATGAGCGCGAGAGAGACAGAGCGACGAAAGTGACTCCCGGATCAGTGTGCCGGCGCCACGCGGCCACGCGGCGCCGACCCGCGAAAGCGAAAGGAAATTGGGAGACGCGAACAAAGGCGGCCACTATCGGTTATGGGCTGCGTGAGGCACGCCAGGGCGCGCTGCCTGCCTGCCGGCCGCCTGGTTATTTACACACGACGTCCGCCACACGCCCCGCCACGGCAGACCGGATGACCCCGCGACCCCGCGGCGGCGATGCGAGAAAAGGCGGCGACGAAAGCGGAAATCCTTTTTACGGAGGACAAGCCGGTGAGCGAAGCGGCCAAGCCGAGGCGTGGCGCGCGAGTGGATACAAGTTTGTTTTTTTGTTGTGTTGGTTTCCTTGTTCATGTCTTTCGGTTTGTCGTCGTGGTTGTCACCTCACGGCGGCTCACGCCCCGCGGCCGCGCGTGGATGGACACGGACGGACACTGGACAGGCAGTGAAAGTGTCATCGGGGCGTGATTCGGACTTCTCGTGTGTGTGTGTGTGTGTGTGTGTGTGTGTGGCGTCCAGTTGTGTGGGTCACCTTTACTCCGCTGCGCCCTCACCCTGGCGAGGGGATAAACCAGCGCCCCATTCATGTCGGTTCGTAAATTCGGCCGCGGCTCTCTGCTCTCAAGTCTTTCGGCTCTCAGGTCCTGGCGTGGCGTGGCGTGGCGTGCCGGACTTCCCCGGTGGGTTTTAATGACCCTGCAGGGCCCACTCACTATCGGCACGCGTTGGAGGAGGCGGCGGCGGCGAGGTCCGCGGCGTCCGGCCCCAGATGGGATCGCACTCTCTTTTTCGGGCCGCCTCGCGCCTCGCGATCGAGACGTCTGTTCGATGTCTCGATCCGACGCCCGATTTTAATTTGGTTCGGGTTAGTTTTGGCGTTTCAGGTCAAAACTTCTCTGGAAGATGCGAATATGGACTGACCTTCCGTATCTGGATACGGACAGCTGTTTCGAACGGAAGGTCTCCTTTGAGTTTGCGAAATCTCAAAGGATCTGAAAAACATGCGAAACGTTAAAGAGAGCTCTTAGTTAATTTTTCGGCGAGATTTTTTTGGCGGGTGCCAGACAGCTCCGGGGTGGACGTCTCGGTGTCGTCGGCGTCCTGCCTCGGTGGCGGCCTTGGCGATGCACACCGAGAGCGTCCTCATCAAGTCCGCGCGGTGCAGCCGGCGAGACGGATTGGGGAGGGGGGGGGCTCTATAAGGGACGCGGCGGGTCGAACAATTACAGGACTCGGGGCGTTAGGGACGCGTCATGCCGCCGTTGCGACACTAAGTGCCGGCATTAGCATGCAGGGCAGCCCGCAGACTCATTCCGAGAGTCGCTTTCGTCGCTCCGTCTCTCTCGCACTTACACGTTGCGCCCTATGAGTGCGAGAGAGACAGCGACGAAAACGCACTCTCGGAATCAGGCGGCCGGGCAAGGCGCGGCCGACACTGCAGATTACTGGTCGCCCTGGGTCAACGTGCGTGCACTCGACCCACCCCTCTTTCCCCGCCCCTCCCTTACCCCTTTCGGTCCCCCCTCCGCCATCCTCGTCCCATAATCCATGACCTGCCCCATCGCTCTACGTCTATCGTTGTGGGCGTCTAGGCTGACGACCTGCATACGGTTGTTGTTCTTTTTTTTTGAAAGAAAAGAATGCTCTTTAATCTCGCAAATTGGCACTAAAAGGTAATGTGGCACGCGGCGGCCCGGAATGAACACACTGCGACTCCCAGGCAGTGCAGGCAGTGCAGGCACTGAGGTGACGCCCCCAGTGCATGGGTCTCAGACTGGAGACGATGCGCGGGCCACACCGTTGGGACCTCTATCTCTCTTTCCTGTTCTCATGCGCACCGTACAACTTGGTTTGTCTATTTCCAGCCGGACCCCTACCTACTCAGTGCCTTGCTCAGTGCACCCTAAACAGCTGTTTCTTGAACAAAGAAAACTGACTTCCAGCAAGTGAATCTACTGAAAACGTTTAAAGCAAATTTGTTTGATTTAATAGCATACATTATCTTGCCCCAAGAAACGGCATTTTAGGGTGTGGGACGCGAACCTCGGCCCGGAAACTGAGGGGACCGCTATTAGTGGAGTAACCCGAGACGGTTTCGGCCTGTGGGGCGTGGGGCGGGGTCACACAAAGGTTTTGATTGATTGGATTCGTTGCTGCTTCGCGTGGAGTCTGGTGTACGGTTAGGCCAGAGTGACAAATTGGACTGCTGGTCGCGTTTTCGTGTTTTGGTGGTTGTGTTTCGGCCTCCCACGTGGCAGAGCTCCCACTTTAAGGAGGCAAGGAATCCTTCCAGGCACTACGTGTCGAGAGGGGTTACTAAGCAATGTCCCATGATGATGATGATGATGATGATGATGATGATGATGATGACGATGATGATGATGCTGTAGTTCATGATGGTGTTGTTCTTGATGATCATGATGTTCTTCATGATAATGATGTTTTTCATGATGACGGTGGTGTTGATGATGTTGATGATGACCATGTTGGTGGTGATGTGGTAGTACCGCTCACACCCTGCGACAGCCACTCTAACGGCGCCCTCCTCCTTTCGTCCACAGGAACACCAGCGGCCGCCCATCTACAACCCCGAGGACTATGCCCAGTCACTGCGCAAGTTCGGGCGCCGCACGCCGGCCCCTGGCGGCACGGGGCCTGGCGGGGCGTCGCCGGGCATCAACGGGGCATCCACGCCGGGCGCCTCGCCGCCGGGCGGCGGCCGCCTGGACAGCAAGTGCAACAAGTCGACGCTGGGCTCCAGCAAGTCGGCGTCGTGCGCCGCGCTGCCCACCCTGGGCGGGCCGCAGGGGCCACTGTCCTCCGCCAGCGCCATGTCCACGGCGGGCAGCCACCGCGGCTCGGCCAGGGGCTCCACCGAGAACCTGCGGCCGCAGCAAGCCGCTCCCCACGGCGCCCCCCAGCAGCAGCAGATGCAGCAGATGGAGCCCGAGATGAGCCTGAGGCAGTTCGACAGTGTGGGCGAGCTGCTTAACAAGCTCAAGGCGGACCTGCGGCTGGCCTTCCCCAGGTAAGTCATTTCCGTTTTACTCAGGGGGTAAGTTGGGGGAGAAAATTACAAGGCCAAGAGAAGTACAAACCCCATCCCACAGGATTTCAGACTGAGATTTCAATTTTTAGATGTAATAACTGGTGGAGGGATGACTCCGGTCATGATGCTAGCTCCACAAGGGCGTACTTCTTCGACCCTCTACTTTCCTTCCCCAACTTCCCCTTCATCCCCTGAAGCCGTGAAGTCTAGCGCGAAACCAGAGGGGGACAAAGTGAACAATTGACCCCCAGATAGCCACCTGAAAAGTAGAAAAATCGAGAAAAATAGCAACACTTTGCACCTGTCGGTAGGCGAAATATGCCACTTCGCCCCTCCCTCAGGCTGACCCTGGACCCGCCACTGCGCGCTCCGAGCGACGCGGTGGCCCCACGCGTATGCAGCGCGTACCGACCGGCCGATAGAGAAATCACAGTCCGACGCACAGGCGGTCTCCGCAGCCTTGCAGTCTTATTGGCCCAGACGTCTTGTCTTCGTTAGCCAGACCCCCCGATCCGCTATCGCACGGCCATCGGCCATCGGCATGGGCAGCGCACATCGATACCGCTCGCAGACATTCGCAAACGCTTGCGAGGACGGCCAGAAAGCACACGCCACCCCGGCGGCACGGCACGCCACGGCACGCCACGCGGCACACGACCAACGGCCAGGGACGTGACATCTATCCCGGTGGTCAGGGGTGCACTCACTCATGCGCCACTCACACTCACTCACACACACACACACACACACACACTATCAGACACTCACACGCGCCAAACCTGGACCTGGTACCTGCCCTTGACTTTGCGGTCCGGGGCCTGTCCCTGTGGTGGTGTGGCGGCTGTGGTATTGGTAGTCCTGCCGCAGATTTCGCGACTGTGTGTGTGTGTGTGTGAATTCTCTCGTGTGTCTGTGTGTGTGCGAGGACAGGTTCGCGTGCATTGCGGTCTTAACCACCTGGCACCGTTTGGCGAGGTTGACTTAGTGAGCCTCTTGATGGATGAACCTACCTGGCACGGAGTGTGTCTGTGTGTGTGCGTGTGTGTGTGGCGACGAGAAGCTGAAGAACGTGAAGAGGCAGGGTGGGGAATCGCGCAGGCAGAGGCGACATGAAAGTTGCAGATGGGCAGACAAATCGGCGGAGGCGCTGCGAGGCGCATCGCGCATCGCATCGGACGCTCGGACGGACGACTGGGGCGCTGGGGCCGGTTCCGCCGGACTCGTCGTCGTCGTAGACTCGCGCTGTGAGCTATTCGTCAAGAAAGTATGCACTCACAAATACACATGCACATACACCCCTAAAAAAAACACACGTGAAAGTTGTGAAATGGCTGGTGCGGCGTTGGCGTTCATCACCACAACTATTCCACGTCCCTTTCCTTCGACAGCCTTCCCCGCTCGGTTCGCCGGATTCGCGCGGCCCTTCCACCCTTTTTCCCTTCCGGCTTTGTGTTTGTCTGACTGCGCCTGTGTGCGTGTTTGTGTGTTTGCGTGTGTGTGTGTGCGTAAGTGTGTGCACGTTGTATCGACACGCGGTACACACCGCATTGTGTGCTGATCGGCCTCTCTCATCGCCTCGACACCGACTCTAGCCCCCCCCCCCTTTGCCCCTTACACACACACAAAGTCGACGAAATGTGGCCAATAGGCCAGGGGCCGGGAACTGCTGGACTTGACCACATCATCGAATACCAACTACCCGCTCCAAAACGTGAAAAAATAGCACAGCGCTGTGAAGAGATGAGACGAAGGGGCAGCAGACCTCTTTTCCAATTGTTGCATTTTAAATAATGTGCAATCAAATTTTCTCCAAATCTTTTTTGTTTTGTTTTGCACATTTTTCGTGAATGTTTTTTCAAAGAGTTATTGAGGTTATTTTGCATGCGGGGTTCGGGCCGGCGAGGCGAGGCGGTGGGAAGCACGCGTGTAATTCAACCCCGCACACTTCCCGCAGTCCTTCCCAGCCGTGCGTTTTATTTCGAAACGTGGAGGGCGAGGTTCGCGCCCCGCCCGGGCCGCCGCGGTTTTCTGCATTTTTACGGTCGTGTGCGTGTGTCTTTATGGGCGGGGTCGCGTCGCGGTGGCGCAACCGCAGTCGGAAGCCATAAGTCGAAGCCAACGAGGCAGGAGGGGATTTGTTCCTGAGTTTGGCTTGGTCCTTTTTTCGTAGGTCGAGTCTCATGCAACCGCACAGTGGACCAGAAGACCGATGGAAGCGGCCAAACTCTAGACGCGTTTAGAGCTCTAGTCGCTAAACAGGGCTCAAACTGGACGTGTGACCCCACCAATGGGTTCCTCGTTCTGAGAGCAGCCCTATGGTGGGGTCACACGCTTGGTTCGAGTCCCATTTAGCGACTCTAGAGCTAAAAACGCGTCTAGAGTTGTGGCCGCCTCAACCGGATCTTCTGGCCCACTGTGGGCCGGTCCCGGGTTCGATTCCACGCGGAGTTAATTGTTATTCGGAGTTCTAGTGCGCAGGGCCGCGGTAACTCTTGTTTGAATGGCCGTTCTCACTGCGCTGCGCTGCCGGGCGGCCCTATCGCACTCCCCGAATCTGGAAACTGGTTGTGTTATGCGAAGCAAACAATAACAGCACCTTTGGCCGCGCTGCGCTGGGCCCTGGGCAGCAGGCGACGGATGGGATCGGATGGCTCCCTAATTTTCGTTTCTTCTTTTCTTTCCTTCGGGAGTGCCTTTGCTCATTATCGCTGTGTGTATATGTGTGGTGTTTTTTTTGTGTGTGTGTGTGTGTGTGTGTGAGCGTGCGTACGTGTCGGATTAAAAACCAGCCAGAACACACATGCCTGCAGAGTTTGTGCCACCGACTCTCCCACCCAGGCTAACGCAGACGTTGATGAAACTAGATGCAGAATAATGAACCGTCGACGGGGTTGAAATGGCGACAACTTTCTGACGTGTTCTAAAGACGGATGAAAACTTATTCAAGTCAAGCAGTTTCAGCCCGTGGGACTTCATTTTCGGACGGTGTGCCGCGGCCGAGCTGGCGCGAGGACGAAATATGAGAAATGGCGGCTTTAAATACGAGGCGGCTCCGTGCGTCACGCGGTGCGCCCACCAGTCTTAAAATCCCTCGGCCGCCCCGCCACTTTTAAAAACCTCTCCACTGCTCCGCCATTCCCGCGGGAAATGATGGTTTTCCGCTGGGAGGAGTGGGTGGTGCAGCCAACCTGACGAAAGGTGGAGGGGTATGAGGTTTTCTTTCGGAGGTTCACCAGGAAACTGAGGTTTTGTAAATCAATTAATTTTTACCTGAACAAGTTCAACTCTTGAGTTCTAACTTCGATATTTTTGATTTCTTTGTCATAAGCGACCAAAAAGGCTACGCAGTCTCCGAAGTGACTTTTGATAGACGGTAAATGTGTCACTACTGATGTGACACTCAGATGCTTTCAGTATACCGCTTCTACCACCGAGAAGTGTTGTGGCAGTGCAGAATTTAGAAAGAGATTGTTACATGACCTTGATACATTTGAAAACAGTTGAGACAGAACTCGGTTTTCTGAATGGTGTACACGCGTATACAGTGCAGCCGCACCGTATGTTATCCTCGCAAAGCAGCCAGCAGGGTGTGTGCGGCGTGCGGCAGCAACTGCAATCCTTGCGAAAATGACAAAGCCCTGCCCCTGAACACACGGCGGGATAAACACGGTCACGACGGAGGCATTCTTCACCTTGACGGTTGTCGCCGCTGATACGGGTTCCACGCACACACACCCTTTGTAAGGCACACCTTCCCAGGCCGCTCCAGGCTGGAGCCTCCAGGGCCGTAAAGCAGGCTGTTGCCATCTCGGTCGCCATTACCATGTAGCGTTGCGTCCCCTTGCTTCCCTTCCTTGCGAATCGCCACATTTCATAACGCACTGGCCGGCACGGCACTGCACTGTCTGGCACGGTGCGGCACTGCTGGCCGCGCGGCCTGCTCGAGCAGAACTAGACGCGCGCGCGTAAGTTGGGGGCCTGCCCCGCCGTAATGCTACGCCGCACTTCCCAGTCAGAAATAATACTCCGCAAAAAAACAAAATTGTTGCTCATGTGGAGGACTTTGCCTTGGTTCTAAGTACGATTTCCGGTGAGCAGCAATAAGGCCATCTTTGTCGTTGGGCATATAGTGATCTAGAAAGAATACTCTCAAGTCTCATTACTGATTGCATCCAAAAAAAATGACTTCCTTGAATAAATACAAACAACTCCTCTTGTACTATTGATAAAACTCTAAGGGCAACTTTGTTTTTCTTGAAAAATAAACACGAGAAAAAAGACCGTTTTTCTTTCTGGGTGTTGTGGCAAGTTCTGTTCGCGCGTATTTGCAATTGGCTTTTGACATAATTCTAGATTTCGGGAACCAAACTTGGCCACTGCCCCTTCACCTGTAGTGAGAGCGCACTGGGCAACTGCTTGCTTCTCTGAGCACGGTGAACGTGTGGTCTAAGGTCCATGATCCCCATCAGCTCGCTAACGACCGCCGCGGTGGTGGTGAGTCCACTTCCGCCCGAAAAAAAAACGTGGAGGAAGGCTCCTTGCTGTAGACCGATTCCGAGAGTCGTTTTCGTCGCTCTGTCTCTCTCGCCCTTATGGGACGTCCCCGTGGGTGCGAGGGCGACAGAGCGACGAAAACGGCTCTCGGAATGAGTCTGCTGCGGGGCGGCTGGCGGTGCTGGCGGCGTCGATGGACTCATCAGGCCGATTTGGCGAGGGAGCGGCCCGTGATGCCGCGCCACGCTGTCGCTCCGCTCGGCTGGCTCGGCGTGGCGGGGCGTGGCGGGGCGTGGCGGAGTGGGCGGGCCGGGCCGCGGCCGGGCCGGACCCGGACAGGTGTAGTCAGGCGTCGGGCCACCTCCGGGCGGGAGGGGGAGGGGGAGGGGGAGGGGGTTCCCACGGGTCGCGGCCGCCCGGCCCGCCCGCCCGGCTCCCCGGGGGACACTGCCCCCTCGCCGGGACCCGGGACCACGACGCGGATG